AGGGAGAGAGAGGAAAAGTCAAGCTCCAAAATTTCTGTCTCCTCTTCCCTTTGGCCCAGGCCCCTTCCCAATAGGAGCACAGTCTATGGCCCCTGATCCCTGTTCCAGGGATCTGCAAGGGTGTGGTGGCAGCTTGCTTCAAAGGCAGACATCCCTGGATTTCCCTGGGAGCACGGAGGAGACTGAGCTAGCCCTACTAAGCGGCTAAAATCACGCGTCTCCTTGTCTTCTCACCACCCCTACCTCCAGGAGACCGCGGGGATGTTTCCCTACTCTGCAGAGGAGCTCCCTGTAGTCCTGGGTATCCCCAAATTCCCGGTTCTCCCTTTTCTGGGTTCACAAACTGTGCCGCACAGTGCTGCCCTCCTCCGGGCCTGAGCGGCAGCGCAGTTTCTGCAGCCGGCAGTGGGGCAGCCGCTCAGAGCGCTGCAGGGTGACGTCCCTTGGGTGGCTGCGGAGGGGCCGCCAGAGGAGGGACACTCGCCTCTGCAGTACCTGCGCTGAGCTCAGCTCTCAGCTTCAAGAGGCTGCTGCATCTTCCCCTGCCCATGAAGGAGAGACTCAGATACCCAGTGTTAGATCTGCAATCCAGGCCTGATCTCGGGCTCCCTGTTAAACCAACATCATTGGCATCATATTTTGCGGTTTCTCCTAGGGTTTTTACCTGCCGTTTCCATAATGATTTTCTTTTCTTATTTATCTATTTACTTATTTAGGGGCTCTTTGCTTTGTTTTGTTTTTACCACAGTCTGTGATGCTCAGAGCTTACACCTGGCTCTGTGATCAGGGATCTCTTTTGGTGGGCTCAGAGGACCACATGGGATGAGCCAAGACTGGCTACATGCCAAGGCAAGCACCCTGCCCACTGTACCCTGGCCCTTCATTCTCTTATACTGATAGAATTCCAAAAACACTCATTTCAGTATGTCTCTAAAAAATAATTTTTATCTGGAGCCAGAGGGATAGTTTTGTTGGTAGGGTGTTTGTCTTGCATGCTACGAAGTGGAGTTTGATGCCTGGGTCCCATAAGGTCCTTGAGGCACTGTCAGGAGTAATTCCTGAGGTACAACCAGGAGCAACCCCTGAGCATTGCTGTGTATGGCCCCCAAACCAATAACTAAATAAATAAAGATAAAAAAGAATAACATCTAATATATGTAACTATACCTCCATTGCTACACCAAAAAGGAAATAATTTTCTAATAGTAAACCTCCTGGGAGTATCCCTAATTTTCAGTTGTTTCATCATATCAAATACTAAGTGAATTTTAAAAAGTCAAAATCCGAATAGATCCCACTCCTTGTGATTGATAGTTTGGTAGTTATTGGTCTTTTAAGTTTTTAGGTCGTGGTAGCGGTGGTGATGGTGGTGGTGGTGGTGGTGGTGTGTGTGTGTGTGTGTGTGTGTGTGTGTGTATGTGTGTGTGTAGACGTCTTCATCATCTCTTTCTTTTCCTCAGATTTCACCATGAAGGAAACCCAGTTGTTTGTTTAGGAGCACTTTTTATTTCTGAATTTTGCTGAATAAACTCTCTGAGATTTGTTTGGGTTTTTGGTTTTGGTTTTGTGTTTTGCTCTTGGCCCAAACCTGGTGGTGCTGCCAGCTCTGTGCTTGGGGGTGATTCCTGGTCGTGCTCTGGGGACGATGTAGTGCTGTATGCTGGACTGGATTTCGTACATGCAAAGTTCAGCTCTTTAAATTATCTCTGGCCCCAGGATTCCAAAAATTGACTACAAGCATTTTTATCTTTATTCTTTGAATTTATTAAATAAGCTAAAATAAATCCAATTCATTTGTGGAGGGGAGAGAGAAAGACAAACCCTATTGCGTTGTTGTTGTTGTTTTGTTTTGTTTTGGGGGGGTGGAGAGGGACACACCTGGAAGTGCTCAGGGCTCAACTCCTGGCTCTGAGCTCAGAGTTCACTTGAGGGGCTCAGGGACCATATGGGGTGGCAGGGATGAAACCTAGGTTAGGCATATGCCTCACCCACTGTACTATCCTTCCTGTTCCAGAAACTCTAATATGACTGCCTTTGTAAATCACTATACCTTAGTAGTAAAATAAAATAAAATAAAATCGCATTTACTTTTCTTTGGGGCTGGAGCGATAACACAGCGGGTAGGGCATTTGCCTTGCATGCAGCCAACATGGCCAACGGGAGATAGATTCCTCCGCCCCTCTCAGAGAGCCCGGCAAGCTACTGAGAGTATCTCGCCCACACAGTAAAGCCTGGCAAGCTACCTGTGATGTATTCAATATGCTAAACACAGTAACAAGTCTCACGATGTTACTAGCCCACTGGAGCAAATCTATGAACAACGGGAGGAGAGTAATACAGTGATACTTCTCTTTGAGATATGGCCTACATAGTATACAAAAATACCCTCTTGGGGCTGGAGCAATAGTACTGCAGGTTAGGGCGTTTGCCTTGCACGCGGCGGACAGGGTTCGATCCCCAGCATCCCATATGGCCGCCCCAGCACCGCTAGGAGTGATTCCCCAGTGCAGAGCCAGGAGTAACCCTTGAGTATCGCTGGGTGTGATCCCAAAAAGCAAACAAAAACAAAAACAAACCCACCTCTGTACACTAAGTTCCCTGATGTAACTTTTTCGGATTTTAATTTCAAGGGTGCAGGCAGGAGAAAAAGAAAGGGAGCAGTGCTGGTGGCAGGGTGGGCTAGAGGATGGGGGTAGAGGAGAGGAAGGAACGGAATTTAGGGAAATCATTCCTACAAATATCCTCTAGAGGGCAACATTTACCTTAATTTTCCCGAATACATTTAAAATTGCAAATTATTTTCAATCATTACAAATTATGTTTTACGTTTTTGACAAGTTGAAGCTCCTTGCCAACTTTGGTTTCTCTCATTTCTGTAAGACGTGGTCACATCTCATATCCTTTGTTACTTTGGTACCTAAGGACCAAATCTTTCATGCTGTTTTTCATGCTGACCCCATTCCCAGCTCCAACCAGGAGGAGGCGATATTGCATAAATAAAAGGTCAGCAGAAAGGGAAAAAAAATAAGTGAAATTGCTAATAAAAGGGAGTTTCACAGGGAAAGGACCATTAATTTAAGAAGGCAAGGGACAACCAGACATTCCTAATTCGCATCCAACTCACGACCCAAGGTCAGAACTGCGTAAGACACAGCACAAAGGAAGCATTCAGGAGCGCGGGAGGCTGACTCTGAGGAAAAAGGCGAATACCACCTCCTCGGGATTTCGGTTCAGATGCAGGGGGCACTTGCACGTGTGTGAATGGCCTCAGTGCCGCAGCCGAGCCGCGGGCATCGGGGCGGGGTTGCTGCTGGAACCAAGAGCGCTCAGAAGGCAACGTCCGAACCCACGCCCTGGGCCAGTTTCACCAAAGCGCAACTCTGAGGTCGCTTTAACACCCCCTCCCCCAATCCTACACCCAGCAAACCGAGCCTTGATGGTAGAACGTTTTTAAAAAGCTTTGGGAGTGGAGGGGCATTTCTCATCGTTGCATTCTTCTGTGGATAAGCCTACACCCTCGGGTACTCGCACCTCTAACAACAACAAAAAGATCGCCTTGACAGTAACTTCTAAGGAGATAAAGGAGAATTCAAGCCCTCCGCCCCCACCCCTTCTGCAAATGAATAGAATCCATAAACACAAGACGGGGCAGAGCAGAGAGCTCAAAGGGTTAGGTGCGTGCTTTGCATGCAGGAATCCCTGGTTCGATTCCGGCCCCACAAGTCTACCCAGCACCCGGGAGGTGTGGAGTGGGGGCGGGGGAGGGTCCCCGCTGTGAGAAGCGACCGAGGACGCCGTTGGGAGTAGCCCTGGAAATGCTGGTGTGCCGCCGCCACCCCCAAATTCCAATAACTATGAGATGAAGTTTAGGACTGGTTCGCAGGAGCCTTTCTCTCCGTATCTCCTCTCTGTTCTAAACGTTTGCATCTTTCAACAGCCAGGCGTTCTCTTCCATGTGCAGTTGGGCTCAACGCTTTCAAGCATCAGTGAAATCGTGATTGTAATTTTACCCTTTTCCCCCAGAAAATTGGATTAGCGTATCCACCCAGCCACTCGGCTTCCTGTCTCAGACTGCTTTCCCTGGGCTTACAGAGAATCCTTGTCCTGGTACTGTCACTTGGTACGGGGAGGGGGCTTGAAGCTCGCCCATACGTCTTGCATACAGCCCCCGGTTGTAGAAACGTTTCCCCATTCTTGCCAGCAGCAGCAGACCTACCTGAGAAAGGCAAGAGCCCTTTCAGAATCTGCTTAAAGTTAGGGCTGCCTCCCCCAGAAAACCGCGAGTATAATTGCCAGTGCCTGGGTGCACACGTTGGGGGTGGAGGGGAGTGGGGAGTCGCAGACCTCCTGGAGCCCAGCCTTGATCAGATTGCACGAAAGGAAATTCCTTTCTGGAACCTTGGAAGCAACGTAAAGAAAGCCGGACGGATCTGCGGAGACCAGCAAGCAAGCGGAGTCCACTTTTGAGTTTCATCTCGGGAAAACAGGAGGAGCTTGGCAGAAAGTCGAGCAAAAGAGGTGGAGTCCCCTCCCCCATTCTGCGCCCCCTACTCTCCAGCCCGGGACCGCGCTAGACTGGCTCAGTTTGCAAAGGGTTTCAAAGGTGGGGGGCTCTGTCAACGACCCAAAGCCTGAAACGTGGGAGGGGGGGCATAGAGGACCGCACGCCCGAGGCTTTTTACTTTAAATGAAATCCCTCTTTGAATCGTCCGCTGAGTCGGACGTTTCGAGCCCTCCTTTCCCCACCTCTCTCCCAGCTAGCTCTTAGGGCTCGGGCTCTCCTCCCCTCCTCCATCCACACCACCATCCACCCCTGCCGTTCCGCCCGGCTCGCGGCCTCCAGCCCCGCCTCCGCCCCGCAGGGTTTCACCGGGCGGCCGAGGAAAATCTGCATCCAGCCCGTCCTCCTTGGAGATGATTGGTGGAGCCCCTCCCGTCTCGGCCGGTGATTGGCGGGTCGCCCCGCTTATTTGCATGTCGGCGGCCGCGGGGTACCCAGCTGTGCGGGCGGCGGGCGCCGCGCAGAAGTTTGCCGAGCGCTCTCTGGCCGGCTGGTCCCGGACTCGCGCTGCGCTCCGAGCCGCCGCCGCCTCCTTGTCCGCCGGAGCCGCCCGATTCTCCCGGGATCCCCGCCTCCGTGGAGGACAGACGATCAGCTTTGAGGGGGATAGAGGGGGCCGAGGTGGGCGCGGAGAGGCCCGGTGACAGTGACAGCTTCGTTCCGAGCCGCCGGGCGCGTGGGGGACTCCGGCTCGTGCGTGGAATCGCGCGTCTATCTCCCCGGGGCCGCCGGGCGGGCGATGCGGCCGCCGAGCTTGGCGGCGCGCAGAGAAAGGAGGGCTCCCGGGAGAGCCTAGAGCTTTCTTTCTTTTCTTTTCTTTCTTTTTTTTTTTTATTTCTTCCCTCTTGGAGGGGGTGGGGAAGATAGCATGGAGCTGTGAGCGCCCGTCGCTCGGCGAAGCCGCTCCGGGCAGGCTCCCCATGGCCGGGACGTACAGCTCCACGCTCAAGACGCTGGAGGACTTGACCTTGGACTCCGGCTATGGGGCCGGGGACTCGTGTCGCTCGCTCAGCCTCTCGTCGTCCAAGTCCAACTCGCAGGCGCTCAACTCTTCGGCGCAGCAGCACCGCGGGGCGGCCTGGTGGTGCTACTCCGGCTCCATGAACAGCCGCCACAACAGCTGGGACACGGTGAACACGGTGCTGCCCGAGGACCCCGAAGTGGCCGACCTCTTCTCGCGCTGCCCGCGCCTCCCCGAGCTGGAGGAGTTCCCCTGGACCGAGGGAGACGTGGCCCGGGTGCTCCGCAAAGGCGCCGGCGGCCGGCGACCGCCCGCCTTCTCGGTGGAGGCGGTGAGGCGCCTGGCCGGGCTGCTCCGCCGGGCGCTCATCCGCGTGGCCCGCGAGGCGCAGCGCCTGAGCGTGCTGCATGCCAAGTGCACCCGCTTCGAGGTGCAGAGCGCCGTGCGCCTGGTGCACAGCTGGGCGCTGGCCGAGAGCTGCGCGCTGGCCGCCGTCAAGGCGCTGTCGCTGTACAGCATGAGCGCCGGCGACGGCCTGCGCCGGGGCAAGTCGGCGCGCTGCGGCCTCACCTTCTCCGTGGGCCGCTTCTTCCGCTGGATGGTGGACACCCGCATCTCGGTGCGCATCCACGAGTACGCGGCCATCTCGCTCACCGCCTGCATGGAGAACCTGGTGGAGGAGATCCGGGCCCGGGTGCTGGCCAGCCAGAGCCCCGACGGCGGAGGGGCCGCCGTTGGAGAGGTGTCTGCAGAGGCCCTGGAGATGGTCATCAACAATGATGCCGAGCTCTGGGGCGTGCTGCAGCCCTATGAGCATCTGATCTGCGGCAAGAACGCCAACGGTAAGCGCGCTGGGGGCGGGCGCCGGGGGCCGGGGGTGCTCCAAGGCCGAGCAACCCGACCGGGTGCGAGGGAGATCCCTCCTGGATCTACTGGGGGATGGGTGGGGGTGAGGGGTAGGGCTTGGGGCGATGCTGGCGGCGCTTCCCCAGTCTGGGAGAAAGCATTTGGTCTGATGGTGAAGTTGATTCAATGGCTCATGTCAGACAGTGCTCATCTGGTGACTGACTTTTAAAGGATAAAGTCGTGGTTGTGGTTGATATTTTACACCTTCATGTGTCTGACATTGTCATTTGGTGGGGAGAGGGGCTGTTCACTGATGAAGTCTCTTAGTCAAGCCTTGCTTGACTGGGTCTACCAGTTGCTGCTGTCCCCTCAACAGCTGGTAGATTGTATGGCTCTGACCCCGGATTTCCCCATCACTGTAGCAGTGGCCAGAACATCCACACTCGGAAACCTGAGACTTGGCAGGAGTGGGATGAAAGGCAGGAAGCCCAGGATGGGGACTGGGTGCCATTGCCTTGGGCTTTGCTGGGCGCCTTCATGGTGGAGAGGAGGACTTGGGGGTTTCTTAAACTCTGCACGTCCTGGGGTGGTGAAACTTAAATGATCAGACTCCCGGATCCCCTTCCTGAGAAGAAACCGCATTATTGACTCCCAGGGCCTGACCTTACAAGCTGTCACCCACCAAATGAGCAACTGATGAAAAAGCCGGTGTTATTATACAGCAGAGCCGTGTGGGCTTTCCTGAAAGTCAGGAAAAGCATCAAACCACAGAGGAGGAAGAGAAATGGCATGGGGGGATGGGCGGTGACCCCGTGTCAAATCTGGGAAAGGAACCATAGGGCAGTTGCTTTTCTCTGAAAGATGACATGGCTCCAGTGCCTAGGGGACAGACCATGTCTGACCTTCTCCCTGCTAAGGTGAGGGGGTGACATCCCTTCTACAGTGTCGCCTGCCAGACTCCCATTCCAGGAGTCAGCAACCCATGCATTATTTAGAGCGGTATGATGGCTTGACTTCTTTGCAGTCTGAAGGGAGGGCTAGTTGGGGGGAAGGCGTTCAATGGCAGATTAGTAGCCATGGAAGAGGCCATGTGGATTCTGGAAAAGGATAAAGGGAGGCAAACTTAAGCACATGGTTTAACATAATGATAAAATTGCCCGTAAGTAATGTGTCTATAGTTTTAGTGTTTTCCATATTAGCTTAAGTAGTCCTAGCAACACCATTGACTAAAGTACCCATAGAATTATATCTATTATATTGAGGAAATCAAGCAGTTAAATAATTTTCCCAGGATCACATAGAAACTAAGTGAAAAATTTCCAAAGCCTTGGAATTTGAAGCTAGGAAATCTCCAGGGTTCAAGCTTTCAGCCACAAGAGAAGGAATCGCTTTGTGCTATTAGCCCATTTTCCCAGGAGACTATTTGACACCTTGGGTCTTGCATTGAAGAGTGTCTGGGGGTATAGCCCACTTTGACACAGTGATTGGCTTCAGTTTTTACATTTCGGGCACTGCCTGTGATGGGAGAGCATTTGACTTTTAATTTGCCCTCAGAGTTGAGGTTTATACAGAATGTTGGCTGATGATGTCACCACTGATAATTGAGCTTTGGGACATTAATATTGGGACACTAATTCTAGGAAAGGAAGTGGAGGGCAGGGGTTTCCGTCACCCACTGGGGAGAGTCCAGAACAAAAGTACTGTATTTTAGGCAGAAGGGACACCTGACTGAGGATAAACATTATCCTCCCCCCCCCCCCCGCCCCGTCTCCCCACGGTTCCCCCAGGGATCCCTCCTCACTCCTTAGTCAGGGCCACAGTAAAGGTGCCCACCAAGTGTCCCCTTTGCTGAGACCCACTGCCTGACACATTTGTGAATACAAAACCACTTTTTTTCATTAATACAAACTGAGATAGGTAGGATGCCTTGGAAATGCAGAGGTGCCAGAAATTGCTGGAAAACAGGTGTCTTCCACCAAAGGGCTGATCCCAATGGGCCACTTTTTATCTGAGGTCTTCACTTCTTTGGTTTTCATCTTGGGTTGTTTTCACCCCAAGAACTGACCAGTCTGCTCCCCCAGAGCAGTCCTCTTAAGCCATGCTAATAGGAAGCCAGCTGGCTGGGTGACAGAAGGCAGAGCTCACTGCCCAGTGCAGGCAGGTACTCCTGGGCACTCCTTGCTCTCCAGGGACCTCTTGCTGGCTGGGGGAATGGGGCGGGGGGTGGGGGGAGGGCAGCATTCATGGGCCTGCTCATTTTTTATACATGAAATCCTGTGGGGTGGACTCCGTAAACAATAACTAGGCTGGCTTATTAAGTCTCTTTAGACAAAGCGAAATGAATGTTTAGGAGAGGAGCAATGAATTACTTATGACAGAAAGCTGCCTTCAGAAGGGATGGTGAGCTGCTCAGAGAAGAAATGGAGAGGTCCAGGCCTTTGTTATCCCCAAATAACCCCTAAGGTTTGTGCTGGCTCCCCTTCGCGGGGCTGAAGACCAAGCAGGGCTGAAGAACAAGCCAAGGGGGAGGTGGAGGAGGGGAAATGTCCACAGTCGGGAGGGGGTGAGTGCTGGTTTCTGTTCTCGTCCTGCTGGTCTTGCCTTAAATTATATATTTATTGTTGTGATGCTGGCTAATTATACAGCAGGGGCACATGCATTAGACTCTGCTATATAGGGCTCTTAAACTTTTAATGTCTTCCAACCAGGAATTTAAGGGCCCCCATCCATCTCTCCCTGTCCATTACTCAGAATGCTGAGCAGATAGGGCTTTGCTCAGCCGAGATGGATGATAAAAGTTCTGTAGTGTTTACAAAACACCATCTCAGCTTCCTACAGAAGTCAGAGCTCTCGATGACTTGGCTCCCTGGGTATTGATGTCTGTGTTCCCAGGACAATGTCATTAGGGGGTGGTATCTTTGAGACTTCCTGTGGGAGGGAGAGAAACCACTGCATCGTATAGCATTTCTGAACCTGGAGCTGGCAGAAAACAGAAACTTCTTCCTCCCACTCCCACAGCACCATCCTTTGATAGGAGTTTGAATCACATCTGAGTTTCCCCTTGGCCATTTTTATTATGAGGCAATGCAAGAGCATTCATGCCATCGGAGAACAACCTCTTGAATGTTGGGACTGAGATAAATAAATGGTAGGGTTTGGAGAATAATCTTGCTCCCTAGCACTCAGCAGGATGGACATGAGTGTCAAATTTGTATCGTGGTGAAGAACACAGAAAGCAAAATCATGAGGGTTTGAGACACACCTCTGCTATTTATATTAGTGACCTGGGGCAGATTTCTTCACCATTCTAAAGTCTCAGTTTTGTCATCTATCAATGGGGGCTAATAACAGTGTCTGAATCCCAAGGTTGGCATGTTGACCAGTCGTGCCAATGAGGTCATAGATGAGGTCAAAGACTTTTAGCACATAGTAAATGCTCAATAAATAAGAGCCATTCTGCCAACAAATATTTGTGAGCACCTTATGCCCGGCATCGTTAAAAGTGCTGCAGAAGGTCAGGGAGATGGCTCCACGGCTGGGGTACACGCTGTGCATACAGGAGTTCCAGGTTGGATCCGTAGCACTCCATGGTCCCACAGGAGTCTGCAGGAGCAAGCCCTGAGCACTGCTAGGTGTGGCCCCAAAACAAAAACAAGTGCTGCAGATTAAGTGGTGAAGCGAGAGAGAGCCCTCCTCAGGAAGCTTACAAACTAGTGAAGAAGACGAGAAAAAGTAATCCAGTAGAAGTGTACTATTAGAGTAAGTGTTCATTTGTTCATTTTAAAAAGAGAAGGTAAGGGGCTGGAGTGATAGTACAGCGGGAGGGTGTTTGCCTTGCACGCAGCTGACCCTGGTTCAATCTCTGGGATCGCATATGGTCCCCTGAGCAATGCTAAGAGTAATTCCTGAGTGCAGAGACAGAAGTAACCCCTGAGCATCTCTGGGTCTGACAGAGAGAGAGAGAGAGAGAGAGAGAGAGAGAGAGAGAGAGAGAGAGAGAAGAGACAGACAGACAGAGAAATAGCATAATGATGGGGCTAATTTATTTGTTTATTTTTGGTTCATTATTGTGCTTATTTTTTTGGTGCCAGAGAAAGGCTTCCCTCTCTGAGACATGATCCCTACCAAGATAGGGCACATTTAAATAACAGCTGAGGGGCTAAAGAGATAGTACAGTGGGATGGGCGCTTACCTTGCATGCACTGATCTAGATTTGATTCTGGCACCCCCTACGTAGTTCCCTGAGCACTGCCAGGTGTGATCCAAAACTCCCAAATAAATAACAGCTAAGGTAGGTCACCTGAGGTTTCACTAGTAATGGGCAATTTTATCAGTTCCACCATTATCTAAGGATGTCTAGGAACGAGATAGTGACTGAGGACTTTTCTGAATCATTCAGTTAATCTGCCCAGCAAGGCAAGCCTCATCTGCCAGGAAGTAAGAGGGTTTTTCTTACAGGGGGATGCAAACCCTCTGAGCTGTCTGATTCCTTCAGTCAGGGGATTAGAGGTTGGATTTCCACAGAGATAAACAACTAAAGGAGCAAGGGTTAATTGAATTGCTAGTCCCTGCTTAATCGGTTTCCACTCCACTCAGAGGGAGGAGGACAGCCTCTCTTTCACATTGTATAGCTGGAAGAATGGAAACCAAGCAAGATCTGGAGCTGCAAATTCCCCTCTTTCTCTTGGACCGTGAAGAAACAGCAATCCTAGCCTAAGGAGAGGAGCAAGGTGGAGTTCTATTTCCCCCAAAAGCTTTAACCTCATCCCATGGCCTGGCCCCCAGCTCCATCCCCACCTACACCTTCACCTTCAAATCTGTAGGTGGAAGAACCACCTGTCCCTGTTTCCACGGCTTCCCAGAGTCATATCTTCAGTCCTTTCCTGCTCTCATCTGTCTCTGCCACCGAGCTCTGGGCTCCCAGGCATCTGCGTCCCCTGCATCTTACCAGCTTGTTCCCTACATCTATGAGGGACACGATGGCTCTCATGCCACC